TGTTGGGATTTTAATTGAAACTGCATTATCTCTATAAATTACCTAGAGCAGATTTATCATCTTCCCATTTAACCAGAAACATGGTATATTTTTCCTTTTATTCAAGTGTTTTTTCATTTCTTCCTTTTAATACTCAGACTTAAATTTTCGTATAGCTTTTATATTTTTATTTCATATTTAGTTCATCACTGACTGTGTAAGGAATACATTTTGTTGCTTTCTTTAAAATATCCATTTCTTATTTCCTTTTCGTGTCATTATATTAACAATAATTTATATTGTGCCACTAGTTACTTTTAGGGGCAAAGGTCATCCACATTGTCGTTTCCTTTCCTGGGAAGGCCACTAAGAGTACAGCTGTCTATATTTCATCCATTCATTCATAACATTGCATTGAGTGCCTACTATGTGCCAGACACCGTTCTAGGCTCTGGGAAAAAACAGTGAACAGAAGACATAAAAATTCTGTCTTTATTGAGCTTATATTTATTATGCTAAGAACTAATCCTTTTCTTTCTGTTTTTAAATTTTTAAAATATGACATAGGTATTTAATTTTATCAAATGCCTTTTTTGCATGAACCAAAATGACCGTTTTGCTTTTATTAATGTATATAATTTTGAATTTCCTACTATATAACTATTTATGTTTCTGGGAATAAACACTTGTGGTTTAATTTTGAACCACTTGGAAATCTAAAAGTGCCTTCTGAAATAACAATTGAGTTCAAGAGAAAAATCAAAGCACAAACAAGTTGGAAATGAATGACCAAAAAAAAAAAAAAAAAAAAAAATCACGACATACAATTTTTTTTTTATCCTGAAGAATAGGAATTCAGTAAGATGAACACAAGCCTCTAACTTCCCTTCTCCCAGATTACTGCTAGAATGAACAACAAAACATGTACTTGGGGGACAGTTCTGGAAGCTGGAAGCATGGAACTGCATCTCCCAAACGCTGGAATGCCTACGGAGGGGGCCCAGGGCAGAGGCATCGCTCCTCCTCTGAGGGGCACGTCCGTGGGCTGATGGGAAGGGCTTGGGTTTGGGAGCCCCAGACTTGCTCCACTGCCAGAGGACAGTGAGCTCAGACTCGCCTTCCTGGGGTCTTGAGCAGCGCAGCGCTGTGACCTGCTTTAGGCTCCTAGGGATGATGCTGGCTCTACCTGGCAGATGGACCCTAAGACGGCCCTGTGGTCCCTGCCTCTTGGCATCACGCCACACCACTGTGCATTTTCTTCCCCGAGTGTGGGCGGGACCTGTGACTTGCTTTTACACTATAGAATACAGCCAGGGTGCAGGATGTCCCTTCTGGGATTATGATACATGACACTGTAGCTTCCACCTTGTTTCCAGACTCACTCAAGCTGCCACATTGAGAAGCCCACCTGGTAGGATCTTGGGGTGACCTCCAGCCAACAACTAGTGAGGAACCGAGAGGCCCTTGGTTTGACAGCCTGTGAGGAACTCAAGGCTGCCGCCAACCACCAGAGCCTGGATGTAGACAAGACCTCAGCCCCAGCTGACACTTGAATGGGGCCTGTGACACTCTAAGGAGAGGACCCAGCTACCTACCGCGCAGACTCCTGACCTTTGGACACTGTGAAATAACAAATGTGTGTTGTTTAAAGCAACTAAGTGTGTGGCAGTACGAGCAC